GGGGTTTTGGGCTAGGTGTGAGGAGCACCAACCAAGCTTCAGGGGCTTTTGGGCTAGTGGGGCCAGGGTCAGTAGGGGCCATGTGTGAGGAGTGTGAGGAGCACCAACCAAGCTTCAGGGGCTTTTGGGCTAGCGGGGTAAGGGTCAGTAGGATGTGTGAGGACCACCAACACACACCTGTTTTTGCCATCCCATTTTTCAACACTAATTGGCACCTCACCTGTGTTGGAACCCTCGAAACGAATCAACCCGCCTTCTCAAGAACAATTGTGGCAAACGCACGCTCCTTAGCCAAATCACCAACTGATTCAGGCCAGCCATCTTCATCGTCCACCTGGAGATCCTGGCGGGTGCAGCAGTTGCAGGACATGGGTGAATGTGTTGCCTCGCAGCTCCTCGCCCTTTTGAACACCTAAAGCACACAGGGGTTCCCTTGCACAACATGTGTTGTTTTCCGAGGGACGGGCTCGACTGTATGGGTTCTGCTGTTCGTGGATGATGGGTTTTTTCCTTTTTGGGCACTTGCTTTCAATTTCCACATCCAACCAAACATGCAACTGAGATGTTTTGAGGCCAGCACTCCGGAGACCAGCCCGGCAATGGCACCTAGGCCGAAGGCAAAAGTAATCAAACTGCATGTGGCATGAAGCTGAAATGGAATCTGTTTGCAGCAAGTGAATTGTGGTACCATACAACCATAAGAGCACGAGAGCACTTTTCCTCGTGCCACGGACCAGCTGTCAGAACCCCTTCCTCACAGACCAAGTGTGGGTACTACCACTGCTTTCAGCTGCGGCAGAGCTTGTAGCTCTTTTTTTTGCCCTCCGCTTTTCGAGGGTCAGGACCTGGTGCTGAGGGCAAAAGTGGTCCGGGTGACCTGGCCTTTGGCGCAAGCACGGTTTGCCACATAGGCCACACGGAGTGTTGCAGATGTGGATTGTCACCAGCAACGGGATGGGCTTGTTGGGCTTGCTGGGCTGGCTGGGCTGATGCTCATCCTCATTCTCCTCCACCACCACCTCTTCCATCTCCATCGCTGCCCGAGGGACCGGGTGCCAGCTCTCATCCGAAGACACATCACATGGCTTGGGGTCAGCACGGGGGCGTGGCATCGCCTTATGAGCTGGCTTTGTTCGAGGCTTCTGAGACTTGATCTCCTTGCTCTTGATCTCCTTCTCTTTGCTCTTCTTGATCTCGCCGATCTTCATCTCCTTGCTCTTGTTCTCTCCGATCTTCATCTCCTTCTCTTTGCTCTTCTTGATCTCGCCGATCTTGATCTCATTGCTCTTCTTGATCTCGCCGATCTTGATCTCCTTGCCAGCATCCTTGAGGTTGATCCCCTTCTTGACCATCTTGCCCCCCTCCTTGTTGTTTGATCCCTTGCCAACGGATCCTCTTGGCGGTGCCCTCCCTCCCTCAAACGCCTCTGGCGGAGTCTCAGGTGCAGGTCTAGAGGCCATTGCAAGGCCAGGTCAGGCCAGGTCCAGGGAAGGTGAGGCTTGAGCAAATAAGGCAAATGATAAAATTGCTCATGAGTTGTGATCCCATCGACCCTACAAACCCCAAGAGATCCCAAGAGCATTGCCCCTGAGGACGGCACCGTTGAAGCACTGCCCCAGCTGGACGGAGAGACATCCTGCGGGCTGAGACTTGGCAAATATGATGTGTGACAACAAGTTGAAGGGTCCTCCCAATCATCCACAGTGGCCATGCTGTCGGGGCGAGGTTCAAGGTTTCAAGGGTCCCTCCCAAATGGCTGCAAGACAAGAGTGGCTGGCAAGCATGCAAGAGCTGTCAACATGCTCATCCGAGCAAGGTTCGGATGAGCATGGTGCAACAAGCAAACATGCATTCAAGTGATTCCTGCAACTGCGCAACGGGTAAACTTGCAGGCTGGACCACGTGGTGCCCTCACTGATCACATAGAGGCCGCTTGTCCGCAAACAGCTAGCCGGGGATTGCAGGGTAAAGATTGGGTGCAACAGGGATCCAACCAACTGTTTCCAAGTAATCTGCAGCAGGAGACTGGGCAAAGATTGGGTGCACAGGGTTGACGCTTGTTTTGATTGCTCGCGCAATTTGAAGCCCCCCATGATCACGTTTGATTCATTATGAATTAGGCACCCATTGCTTTGATGCCTCAACACAGCCCCTTCTAGCGCCTTCTGGCCATTTCATGGCCCATGATTTGAAAGGCATGCCGGGCAACCGCTGGGAACACGATATTGCCAACTGCATGCAAACGAGATTTCTCATTGCCATCTTGGCTAGTTGAAAGCCACTCATGCAGGGGTGGCCGCCCAGCCGGGTTCCAGGCTGACTGCGGCTTCTGCTGGAGCTGCTCCACTGGCTCCAGACGTTGCCCCTGGCGCAAAATGAAGCGAGCAGCGAGCAAGCCGACAGCCCGGGCCTGCCAAAAATTGAAGCTCCTCTTTGTGGCCAAGAAGAAGGTCCGCTCCCGAAACACCTTTCAACCCAGAAGCCAACCACCCTTTGTTCCGGACACACTTTTGTGGTTTAATAGCAACCTGAGACCCCAGCAGGGCACCCCACATCATACCCCTTCACTGTAGCCCATTGCAATGACAAACTCCTCTTCTCGCACTCCTACAAGCCAAGTAGGGGGAGGATCACCAACCATAAGTTTGGGGGAGGGGAAGTTGATAGGTAGTAGAGGCTGGTAATCACAAAGGGTGGGAAGCAAAAAAGGGATATGGGATGGCAGCATGAATGAAAAGTCCTCAAAGATGTGGCTCATCACTGCAGTGTGGGACTTGGAGAGTATGTGCGAGACATTCTCCAAGGCAATGAAATCCCTTGCAAGACCAAAGTGACAGGAGATCCACACAGCTAAGCAAGCAGAAGCCGAGGCACAAGCCACCCTGGCCCTGAAGGCGCCAGATCTCTGAAAGAAGCCCCGACCGAGAATCTGCCAAGCCCTCGCAGAGCCCCGCTTTTGACAGGCCCTGCCGCAGAAAGAAGCATCACAAGGCATCTTGCTAGTGCACAAGCCTGGCAGGGAAAGCCACCCAGCAGTCCACGAGTGGACGGCTGGGCCTTCAGGTCGAACCGGCGGACGTCCCAGTGCAGCGGCGCTGCCTCGGCAAGGCCATCCCGGCACCGTGCCTGGATCACTGAGTTGCAGAACTTGTCGGACTCCACATAACCTGTGGGGCGAAGATACCTGGCGGCACACAAGTGCTGGTGATACAGCCCAACATGTTTGAGGCACGGACTCATGAAGCCCGATATCCAACCCCAGCACTCCAGAGAAAAGGCTGATAGCCTTGTGCCTGAAGATGCCCCGATCCTTACAAGGACAAATTGGGTGCAAGAATGTGTGTGGGGGGAGCTTGCATTTGAGCTGGGGGGCTTCAGTGGTCCATGGGCAAATTGTGGCCAAGCTGTCTGTGACAGACCCCACTTCATTTGAACTCCATCCCCGGGGGAGTCCTACAAGGGAAGCAACTCACAACTGGCAGTGACACGAAGGAGAAGACCCAGGCCTGCAAAATACTCGGCAACCTCTGGGCAGAGGAACCGGCCACGACGAACCTTGTTCTGGCGGCACTCCTTCTTGTAGTCACGCCAATAGTACACCTGTGTGGCCAGATCCTGCCAATGGGAGGGGGTGGGGAATTGAAGGTATGGGAGATGAAGCTCCGCTCCTGGCGACCTCTGAGGGACAAGTATGATGTGTTAGCACACACCGTAGCTGAGAAAGGCCCTCAATGCCAACATGCTATGGGTGTGGCTGACGATACAGGCATGAGGCCCTGACTCACTGTGCCGAACGCATGCAGTGTCACTGGCTTGTCCACCAGCTTGGTGCTTGGCTTGATGCCTTTCTTGATCTTTTCAGGAACCTGAGGCGGAAAAGTCATACCGCCTAACTATGCTGCTCTCCCAAAAGGATTGTTGCATCAAAGGGACCAAGGTGATGTCAAGCTTGGGACGGGGAGCTTGAGGGCAAAAGGCTGGTGTGTATGACACAACATCCTTGCCAGGCTCTTTGATCCCGAACTTTGGCAGGGCCATTTCTGAGGTTGGCGGCTTCTGCTCTTCCATGTCGCAACTTAGCAGAGCAAGGGCAGTGACACAAAGAAGACATGTTTGGGTTTGAGGGCGCGGCTCACTCAACTCGTCCACTGGTTGGAGGGCCATTGGCGCTGCAACCGAAGCTCTAGGGCCGGGCCAGCTCGGGGAAAAGGAGCAAAAGGGGCTGAGAAAGAAACGAGGCTACAGCGACCCCAGAAAAGAGACCCTAGAAAAAAAAACACCACATGAGGCAACCAAGCTCACAAATCCAAACCCCTTGATGTAAGCCAAAACCCTAGATAGCTGGATCTCGAATTATATATGAATAGTGTTTTTTTGTTTCAGGTTCTATTCTGGACCAGAACACATGTTATTTTGTGCGCAAAAGCTGAAGGTTGTACAAGGGAAGCCTAGAAGAGGATGTTTGAAGAACTGTGGTCTGAAGCAACACGTTGGCCGATTCCTGTCAGGGGGCCAGAGTTTTGCCTTTGGTTTGCTTGCGCTCAGAACGGAATTGTTGTGAGACTGTCAAGAGTAGCACCACCAAAAAGGGGAGAGGGGCGTCTACCCAGGCAGCATTCACTTTGTCAGTGAGTGTTGGGTCCGCCAAGTCTACTCCGCTGTTGAGTTTAATGCTCAATAACCCTGAGTTTCATTTGAGCGGGGCAAAACTGTCAGGTTGGAAGATGTTGGAAGAAGATGTTGGAACTATAGGGAGCCCTTTGGTAGATGGTGCTTTAGGGCACCATCACCCTGAAGTAAATGGACTTACTTTTACTTTCATAGTTCATACTTGTGCCAGCTACTTTTGCCCTGGTGTAAATGGAATCTGGTAACCCCCTTTAACCACCTTTTTACCTTTCGTTGGCTACCCACGAAAAAAGCCCATGGAGCAACGCATGGGAACACCCCACGGGACTTCGGTGAATGGCCCAGTGGGTGTCCCTCTGGGACTCGCTGAGGAGCCCCCAGGCCTGGAGCCCGCGCTCACGGACTGTGCCCTGTGGCGGCACCTGCTGCGGGGCACCCACGGCTTCTCCCTGCACGGCCCGCAGACCGTGAGCTTGCGCCCCGGATGCGGAGATCCGGAGCCGAAAATACGTTTTGGAAGGGTCCAGGAATGTGAACCCCGGATTCGAGGCAAACATACACAACATCCCTCTCGGTTCGTGGAGAAGCCCCAAGGAAGATTGCTCAATGTAAACCCCAGATTCATGTCAACCCCGGTTGACTTTTATTGGGGGTGTCCAATTCCTTTTAGTGGGGATTCAGACAACTTTTGGAGGGAACACCTCCTAATAATGGGACGGGTTTATCAATCCTGGGTCAACATTAGTGCCAACTTTCTCACCGTTTTCTTTTTTTGGCTGGGGAGGGTTCCCCTACTAAAATAGACTACAGAAAAAAGGGTACCCTTATTCTGACCTCTCTACTGGAGGACCTAGGTTGTGAAGGGGGCGGTTTCTACATCAAAAGGCTTGCTGAGGTTCATACCCCCCCCCCCCCCAGTTTTGAAGGGGGTGTTTCTACATGCCCCTGCATTGGGCAAATGAGCCCAGAAGGCTTGCTGATGTTGAATCCCCCCAATTTCTGGGGGTGTTGGTACATACCCTCCTTCCCTTTGTCCCTTTAAAAGGAAATAGGATACCTTCCATTTGCTTAAATGACGATTTTTATTTTCCCTTGTTGGTTTTAAAGGGAATCTATCACTACTGGAGATAGTTTTTGTTTGGTACATACCTACCATTCTTTTTTACATGGAACCTGACGAACGGGACAAATAATCCCTTTAGCATGAAAATGGTCCAAACCAGGACCCCCCGAATGTCAGGTTCCATGTTAATTGGTGGGAGAGGGTACCCCTTTTTACATACATGCCCCAGGCTTGCTGATGTTCATACCCCCTCCAAAGGGGTATATAAATTTTGGAAAGTGGGTTGTTAACCAGGAAAGCCAAGAGGATATGAACAAGGGAATATGTACTTCCACCCTTGGAGTTTCGGGTGCTGGCTGTTTTGGCATGACCTCTACCACTTGCTGGTTTTCATTCCCAACGCCCTGGGTGATTTCGATTCACCGGTGCCTCACATTGTTCGAAGGTCCTTGCTTGCTGTCCGCAGTCTGAACCTCTACTGCTATTGGGTTGGATAGACTTTAACTTTTTGGATTCCCCTCATACTTCCTTTTAACCCGTGTTTCCGCACGTGGCGATTGAGAGGGCAAAAAGTTGAACGGATCTACAGCACCCAAGGAACCGATTTGGAAGCAACCCACATCGGAGTTCAGAGATTCGCGGCCCTGGAGTCAGCTCAATGGCTCTCTTCAGCTGAGCCACAAGCAAAACTTGGGTAGTTGCAGGGTAGGGACAATCCCGGCCATAGATCGCTGCGGATATCCGCCTTCTTAGTTCTTTACATGGTTCTGGGTCGACCATTTTTGTACCAGGTTTTGATTATGACTCAGCTGCTTTGCGGCCTTCTTGCTTGCAATGTCAGCAGCCAGAATTGCTCGGTTGCACCTCCGTTCTGGTCACATCGGACTTTTTATCACGCTCCAGCCGAATCATTTTGAAGGCAAGTTCCAAGCGCTACTCTGAAAGCTTTGGACATTTGCTTGGCACTTGATGCTGATATCTCACATTGATCAAAATCCACAATTTTCATACATGTGCAGTATTGAACACTCATTCTGCACATGCAAACCTTGAAAATTAATGCTGTCGTGTGGGTCGCTTTACGGATATGGGCATCTAACATATTTTGGAATAGCCGAGGTTGAACTTGACCCGAATTCACCCGCTAGGGCAGCCAAGGATTGTGTTGAATATTTGTGCATGAGCTTTATGCCAAATACATGATATACAATGGGCCCTGAACAGTGTGAGTGTCAGCTTTGCTACTTTCCGCTCAAACCCAGTGCTTTTTTTGGGCAGGGGGGCAACAGATGCTCTCTTTTTTTTCCGCGGCCTAGCAGCATACTCTGCAAAGCACGCTTGCTGCTTGCTGCTTGCGGGCGTCACGTTTCCTTTCTGTGAGGTATCCTGATGCGCCAGAGGCTGCCAGGAGAGGTGGGAGGAATTCGTCTGGAGCCGGTTGTTGCGCATGCGCATTCGGAGTCGAATCGAATGGGGGGGGTTCTGGACGAGGCGCAGTCGGATCATGGCTCAGCGTGTCTTTTTTGGGTTGGGCCCCCAGAAATGGCGTCGTTCTTCCTTTAGTTTCCCCGTTAAACTACAAAAATGGGGAGGTGTACTCTCCGAAGACGATGGTTTCCCTTTAAAACCACGAACATGGGGCTACCAACTCCAGAAAAGGACAGCCCCACTTGCCGACATGGCCGACATGAGCCATGTCGGTCTGACCTTGCTGGACTCAGGGATTACATCCATTTGCTTAAGAACATGTTTTATATTCCCCTGTTGGTTTAAAGGGAATCTATCACTACTGGACATTTTTATGTTTTTTTCCCCAGGGGGCTTAAGCAAATGGAAGATTAACCACATTGTGTTGCAACTGGGCACCCCTGTCCAACATTTGCGTGGCTCGTTTTTGGAGGGTACCAACATGTCAATTTTCCCCTGGTAAGGGAAACTGAAAGGTGACACATGGGTCTGTCTTTTCTGGAGTTGGTATCCCTTGTTGGTTGGTGGAAACAGGGAAACCGAAAGGAACACCGAAGAAGTTTTTTGGGGCGGATCCAACCTAAAAAGGACTAACATACATCCACACATACATGCATGCATGCATGCATACATACATACATACAGACAGACCTACCTCCCTGCATGCATGCATGCATGCATACCCATGTGGTCGATGTCCTTTGGTTTTCCTTATATTAAGCCGAGGCCTGAGGTCAGAGCTCCGCCCGCTTCGTCGCTCCAGGAGCGCGCGGAGGCGTCAGCGCAACGCGGGCTGGCGCCGGTGGTGGCTCACCTGGCAGTTCCTTGGGCAAATGGGCGGGGGCGGGAAGGGTTTCGGGGCTGAGATGAAGGAACCCAAGGCGGTGCCCTACAAGAAGAAACAAAAACGAGGGTTTTGGTGGGGCTGACTGAATCTGCAGCTCAACTTTTGTGCGTTTCAGAGGCACCAAGCCCAGAGAACATGGCAGCAATCAAGTGACAGAGAATTATCTTCGAAAGGAAGATGTGGGCTTTCACAGCTTTGCTACTTGTGTTTGGTGTACTAGGTTTCTTTTTGGGGGGGATGCTTGGTTTTGTGTGTGTGTGTTTTCTCTATGCATTTATCCCTCTGATGCGCTAATCAAGGTACCTGGCCAAAAACGACAGGGGGCCCGTGAGAGCAGTCCGTAGGATCCCCCCCAGCCCCCTCAAAGGTCCTCAGGATCAATAATTTTGGGGGACGAGGGGGCTTGCTCACTTCCCAAGTTCCTGGACTTGCTACTTTTTGGCCATATTTGCATCCCTTTCAACGTACAGTCTCATGGCATCACGAAGCACAATCCTATGCAGGATCCTGCGGTTTGCAGGGAAGACCATGTCGGCCAACGACTCCAGTTTGGGACGCCGTCCGATGAAGTGAGGGTAGGGCCACGCGGCGAGTCGGAGCGTCACAGCCGGGGTCGACTTCGACTCAGGAAGGCGCGGGCCCGGGTCAACTTCGCGCCGGCTCCGATACTGGCGCCGACCACCGCGCCGATCTCAGGGATCAGTGGGTTTGGCTGGATGGGATTTGGCTGGGTTCTTTCCCATCGGTTTTCGAGTGGTGTTCTTGCTGTCGTTTGTTTTGCTGCTGCTTTGGGTTTGGTTGCCCTTTGGGATTGCCCCGGACCACCGGAGCCTATCTGGGCTGAGACCCCAAAGCTTTCAGCTGTTGGGGGGGGAAAAACAAACAGACAGGTGGCACTCCCAAACCCCCAGAAGCCTTACACGCCAGCCCGAGCTTCGAACTAGGGCTTTGAACGGCCCTTATGGCAAAAAAAAAAAATCAGACAGGCGGCACTCCCCCTTTTAAGGAAACCATCCATCGTGGGTGCATGAAGAGCAGCTAAGCTGGTGCTGGAGCCTTTGACCTAGCTCAGGCGCTCGTAGGTTGCTTTTCATTTTGCCCCTAGTATCCGAGTGGTCGGGTGATTACAGGAAGCCAACGGGAAAGCACACATTTTCAGGGGGTTTCCTATTTAAGGACACACCCAAATACAGTTCAACTCATGGAAGCGCTGAGCCGCTGTTTTTTGGCCGTCTAGATGATTTCAACTAAAGTGGCATAGATCTGCGACCGTGGCGTCCCTTGAAATCAGGTCGAATTATTTGGGCCCTTGCGGGGAGTTTAGGTATTTCACCGGAATCGTTAAGATATTGAATTGCAATTTGCTCAGATTTTCTCCCAACCCCCCAAACCTCCAACCCCCAACCTCCAACCCTCGACCTCCAACCCCCAACCTCCAAACCCCCGCATCCCCGGCGCGCAAACGCCCAACCTCCCTGGCTCCAACCCGGATCCAAATTTTGCCAACCCGCAGGCGGGCCAAACGCCCTCGTCTCTTGGTTTCTCGCAAGTCTTCTATTTGCTCAAGAATATGCTTTATTTGTCCAACTCTTGGTTTTACAGGGAATCTATCACTACCCAGAGGCTCCCGATTCATTTAGGGCCCTCAAATAGCCAGGTCCAATGGAGGCTTCCATTGAAAGCCCCAGAAACCTCTGGGTACTGTAAAATTATATAAAGATTTTTCTATTGGCCGAAAAAGCAAATGGTTTCAGTCAGGTCTTCATGCCGGTGCCGGTGCACTTGGCCTTCAAAGTGCAGCAGTACATCGAGCAGCTGCTGCGCGAGGAACATGCGTCTCCCATTCCGGGGACCTGACCGTGGGGGGGATTGGGGGGGGGGGGTGGGAATCCTATGAGACCCTTTTGGTAGGCTCCATGTGGGTGGGTTCCGTGCCTGAAAAATCTGGCCGTTTTGGTTGAGGGGGGGTCTGCCCTCCTATCCACTAAAATGGAACCTGACTGGGGGGGGGAGGGGAACCTGGTTGGTACGCATTGTTCTCTCAAAGGGGGCCAAGACTCTGGTGGCTTCCATGTTTAGTGGACCATGGGTATGCCCCTGGCCAAGCGCACGCCATGACCGGTTTGCTAAGCTCTTGCGGGTAGCTTTGATTCGGCAGCTCTTGACTGGTGGACTTGGATCGTTAGACAATTGATATTATATGTGTATATATATATATGATACATATATAGTGTATATATATATATGTATAGTTATGATATATATATATATATATATCACATATATATATATATGTATGTGTATATGTACATATACCATTATTTTTAATTCGCAGCATGTCAGCATTCTTTCACTGACGAATCGAGCAAGCCGACTGTACATAGATGGGCAAGAGCATCTGAAGGCCGTGATAGATGTGTCCGGCAAAGGGCCCCGCTCTTATCCAACACATCAAGTGGCCAGGCGCGTCGGAGTTGCCGCGACAAAAGCGGCCCGCGTGATTGGGAGGAAGTCATAGACATCTGATACTGAATCAGCGTGCTGGGCTAGGATTGCAATGGGGAACAAGCCTTGAGGTTTCTCAGGAAGACGAATCAAAAGCCGTAAGCTTTGTGCTGGGTTTACAGACGTTTTGCGTGCGGCGATGGAGCTATGACTAGATCCATGTTCGATTTGTTGCTCCGGTTGCATGGCAGGGATGCAAGTTCAAGGTCGTGGGGTTTTCAGAGAGCCATGGTCCCACTTCCGAACCCTCCGATTGGCAACAGGCGAAGAGGGTGCCAAAGAAAACCAGAGGCACTATCCACAAGACAGAAACCGCAACCAAACCAGAAGGCCCACGGGTTTTTCAAAGGGTTTTAGAAGGGGTGCACTTCTGTGGGTTAATACGGGACCCCCAAACCGACTCCTTTTGGAGGACCCCGCTTTGGGGGTTCCATGGGAGTAGCATCAACCAAACCCGGCTAGGTGAAGTTCGCGGAGAACTTCTTCCTGCTGCGGGGCAACCACGAGTGCGCCGGGGGCGCTCAGCGTGGGAAACGTTTTGTCTCAAACAAAAGAAACGTTTGGCGGTTTCAATCAGAGCTTGGCACTCGGTTTTGGTGGGTCCCGGTGGGTCGCAAAGATGGAGCTGTCTGCCTACTTGGCGTGCGAGTCCACCGCGCCGGGGCTAGAACGAGCGATTTGACGGAGGTCCTTTACTTCATGGGGTGTCTCCTCGTGGGTCTCAAGCTTGCTTTTGGTGGGCAACTCAATTTCACTTTAGGAGTACGGGCTTTGAAGAATGAGGTTCTGAAGTGGACTTGTTTCCTGGAGACTTTCAGGGCTTCTCAAATTACTCTTGGGCGGTGTCCCAATATGGCGACCATTTGTAGGCATGTCTGTTTTTGAGGGCTTTTTTTTTGTGAAGGGTGGTTTTGCAAATTTGGAACCAACAAACCACCATTGGGTGTGGCTCAAAATATAACCAGTGGGGTTACGCAGGTTTTAGTCTTTGGTTCCATTTGCCAAGGTGCCATTTTGGTACATGTTTTTGACCCACAGCCATTTACATCTGTCTTGTTTTGGGTCCCCTTGTGAAGGCTGGCTTTGGAACATCTGCAAAACGGGACAGCCGAAGCCGCTTCTCGGGGATCTGGACGTCTTCCCCACCGGGACTTGGCAAGTTACAGTATCTGGGGTGTGGATTTTTGTGTGGATGGGGGGTAACCCCGTGTGGCCCAGAGCATCTATGCATATATATATAATATTTATTTATAGCATATCATATATATATATATATTATGTATATATGTATGTATATTAGTCCATTGGTGTCCTTTTAGGTCACTTTGGTTGAACATAGATGGCACTTGTTTTCGCCGGCTTCGTGCAACTCTTCAGTGAGCCCTTGCCTTTTTGCGCCGTGCGGCAACCACCCGAGGCCTCGATCAATCGCATCTATGGCTTCTACGACGAGTGCAAGCGGCGCTACAGCATCAGGCTCCGAAGCGGCAAGCGGATCGCATCCTTGGCGTGGAAAGAAATTTGAAAGCCTGATGCATTTATATGCAGGTGTCTCGTTTGTAAGCCAGCTGCGTCCCAAAAGGATACCGTGGTTTCGGCGGGGGGGGGGAAGCACTGACTTGTTCAAGCTTGGGGCTTGAGCAATTTGACGGGAACCCAGGATCAATGTAAACCCTGGTTGATACAGGTGGAGATGCCCCATTGAAGAGGACATCCACAAGCAAAGCAGCGTGCTATTTCCAGAAAACGGATTTGGAAGAGGAAACAAAGTAGCTTGTTCAACGTCGAACCTGGAGCAAATTCAATGGGAACCTGGGATTGGTTGATTCCTTGTTGCATGGAAAGTCTATACTTGGAAGGCAAGCTCCTGACTGAAAGTTCACTAGGTTGATTAATCCAGGGTCGGCATTGGTGTTGTGCTGTGACTGATGGCACCTCACAGGGAACAGCGCCATATTGAAGTGGATGCAATATACAATAAACATCTACATGTGTATATATATATATATATGTGTGTTTTGTTGTAACTGATGGCACCTCACAGGGAACAGCACCAATATGCATCTACATGTGTATATGTATGCATTTATATACAGACACACATGAGAGAATGTTGGTAAAGAGGGCTGCAACGATTTGTAACAAGAACCTACCGGCTGAGACTCGATTGGTCATTGGGTTGGGTCTTGCCTCGCTGGCATTGTCAGCTGCAGCTATGTTCAGCATTTACACATACCGTGGATGGACGAAATCCATTTCGCACCACCTAAGTCTGGAATGATGATTCCCCTGCTATTGACAACAAACAATATTGTTCCATGTGTTTTCACAGTGGAACGACATAGATTCCGTCCACAGTGCCAATGTGTGTGTGTGTGTTGCTGACCAAATTGCGGGCAGTACCACCTGTCCTGCACTTGTATCGCCAGTGCTCGATCGGAGCGGTAAGCAAGGGCCATCGATCATCGCCAGGTTATGGAAGACGTTCACTGATTGCTTCAACTGCCTGCCCGTCAGCGCGGCGCGATCCTCCAGGGGCGGTTGGTTGCAGGCAAGGATGTTTCCTGTGGGTCGGAGTAGAGACCTGTTTGTGGTGAGCCGCCAATTTCTTGGCGATCCCCAGCAGATCTGATTGTCGCACCTCGAAGGTTTGAAACAACCAGTACGTATATACTCGAATTATAGGCTGTGGTGTGCTTGCCAAAAGCGTAGTTATTCCAAAGGCCATGACTGCTGAGTCCATCATGCTGGGTTGCTGGCTTGATACGTCTGAGCGACTCTGAAATCTGAATAGATGACTGAGAGGCGTCCTCCAGACAGGGCAAACACTGAGCCAGGGGAAGCTATCTGACTCAAAACTACCCCCTTTTTCGTTTGGCGGCATTTGTTACTTTGCGATTCCACTTCCAGACAACGAACCCTTCCTTCGTTGGAGGTGGTTCTTGCTTTGCGACTTTTCGCCCATTTTCAGGCACCCTGAACCCTAAACTCTAAACCCCAAACCCCAAACCCCAGGCCCAGGCCCTGTTTCTTCCGCTGGCCTTCCAAAAAAATTGTCCGTCCGGCCGATTTCGGTTTGCGATCCGAGGTCGTGGAGGAGAAGATCGTGTGCATGCACGGCGGTCTCTCCCCCGAGCTGGGCTCCATGCAGCGGGAGCGCCCAAAAACCACGGTCTGGCCGTGGTTGTCAAAACCACTTGACTGCTATTGGATTTTAGACTTTAACTTTTTGGTTGAAATCGAGGGGCTTTCCACTCAACCCCCCAAAAAGTTTCAAACTTTTGCAGGGGGGTCAACAGCAACCAAGACCAATGGTACCATTTGGGGTAGGTGAATTCACCACCCATTTTAAAACCTATTTTAGTGGGGATTGAATCGGATGTTCACTGGGGGTACGATTCGGATTTTGACCCATGGCCACATCTTGCAAAGGGCGTGCAAAAGCGATCGAGCGGGAAGAATGGGGAAGGGGCCGAAGAAAGGAGGCTCAAAGGAAGTGCGAACGAAGAGGGGCCAAAGCAATGGCAAACAAAACAATGCAACAAGGAACACGGCCAGCATGGTGACAGGGTGCTCTTGGCAGATTGTCTGAATTGGGGCATGAAGAAGCACAAGTTGGAGCCTCCCTGCTGGCATTTGAGACAGCAGGGACAGAGAACAGGGGCCATCTCTTCCGCAACCCGCACTTGCTGGGCTGCAAGTAACCTCATGTTGTCACCTTCATCACGAGTCCCCAATGCGGTTGACAACAAGTTGAAAAAGGATTGCTTGCAGGAGACCCTAAGGTTGTTTCAACAAACGGCTTCCAGCTTGTATTGCGTCTATTGCGTGGCAATCAATTTGTGTCGAATCCTTGCACCCATGTGTCAGAAGTTCTGCGCTGTGCATCACCTTTTTCTTGGAGCCCTTTTTTTACAGGATGTCAAGGAGCAGACGAAACCCTTCCGTTGATGCAGGTGCTACCGCAGACTTATTTTGGTTTTGTGGTGTTCGGTTGTTTGTTGTTTGTCAACTGCACACCACAACTAGGTCCCCCAGTAGTGCCCTTCTCACCTTTTTTTGGGGGAGGGTTTCCCTACTAAAATAGTCTACAGAAAAAATGGGTGCCCTTATTCTAACCTCTCTACTGAAGGACCTAGGTTCGCCTGTTTGTTGCCGGTCAACTGCACACCAAAAGGGGGGAAGGATACCTTCCAGGGAGCTGTCGCCATTTTCGGGACTGGGGCTGGGAAAATGCGCCAAGGCAGATCCATCGGGTCATCAGGCCAACAGATGTGCCAGACACAGGCGGGCGGCCAACCCCGCGACGTGAGAGGCAAAGGAAGCGACAGCCCCGGGCTCTTGGAGATGTTTTCGGTGGTGGGGAAATCCGGTTTTGAACCATGCGGAAAAGATGGGTGTTGAGGGACTGTCACTTTACTTTTGTGGGCGGGGAACCCCCTTTAGCCACTATTTGGAGGGTAATTTCGAGGATATGACTCTGGAAGTCGGTTGCCTGTTTGGATTGATACCTGAGTTGCTGCACATGGGCGTGTCCTTTCTGTTTGGGGGGGACCCCCCTTTCTGGGATGGATTTTGAGGGAAGGAAAGGGAAACCAGCAACTTCTTGTTCTTTTCTGCTTCTTCTTCTTCTTCGTTCTTGTTTCCCGTTGACGATCCAGGACAGTCACATGCACCAAAAACAGGAATGGCATGGCCATGTCTGGAGGTGTTTTTGAGTTGAGTCCCGGGTATATGAATTTGCAAGGTTAAAGGATTGAACATCATGTATGACCGGTGGCTGCTACATTTATAACACACCAAATCAAGGATCTTGTTGCGCAACGGGAATTTTCGCATGGTTCCGTCTCGGCCGCGGGTGCCGCGGGTGCCGCGGGCCCCGCTCTCGACCAAACGGCGCGCCAGGCTTGCTTTGTGACCTGCTTTGGCCGGAAGCTCGGGGCATCTCGGGCCCGTGGGCGGCGAGTTTCTGGCTTCGGCCCTTGCAGTCGCCTTTTGTGTTCAGAAGGGTACATCCTGGGCCCCGGGTTTTTGCACCTGGTCGCTTCATCTGGAAACACTAGGGCCCACAGCGTACCCCTCTTTATACTTGGGCAAGTCCCAAATGTTGGCGAAATCATCATGCCCTTGTCCGCACAGGGCACGGTGCCACTCATGGTGTAAAGAGTTGACATTTTCAGGAGTGGTTCCAACTTCCACGGGGGTTCTCTTGAGCCCATCGTTCTGAGGGTAATTTTGAGGATGGCACTTACGACGCAGGGATTCCCCAAATCGCCCAGTGGCCACGTCTGAAAAGATTCACTCAGCCAGAAGCGAGCTGTCGCCAACCGCGAGCTTCAAAATTGGGCTGGGGGAGGAGACACGACTCTTTCCTTGGGGTCGGGGGGCATTCCTTGAAACAGAATGGAGCCTGAGGAACCTGGCCGATGACTTTCGTGTTTCGCTGTGGATTGTTGCTATCCCGAACGCCAGAATGCAACGAAACGTGGAGCTTGCAAGGGCGGGCAACGTAGATGTGTGCTCCACATGTGTGTGTGGTGTGTGTGTGTGTGTGGTGTGTGTGTGTGTGTGTGTATGTGTATGTGTGTGCGTGTGGGTCCTTTTTTGGGACCCAGGTGACACGATAGTGTCGGCTCAAGGGGGGGGGGCAAAGGCTCCAAAAGTTTGAACAACTTTCCCATGCGACTGTGACATGTGCTGATGCCACGGGTTCAGCCATCTCTGAGATCAACATGCCCTGCTCCAACAATCACGGAAGCTGACAGAAGGGTTTTGGAAGGCTACTCCCATGATTTGGCAAATTTGAGGGCGAACCTGCTCTTGCAGAACCCTTACTTTGGCTTTTGGAACAATAGATTTGACTATGGGTGTGTCTTGAATAAATAGGCCCCATGCCGAAAAAAGGGGGGCACCCTCAAAAAAGACGAGCTACCAATATGGGCATGGGTCAAAATTGAAACACCAGGGGACCGCAGATTTAAGTCCATGCTTCCAGCTACCACGGTTCCATTTTGGGTTTTCCCTAGTTGGACCCACAGCCATATGACTGTTGGACAGATGGGTCAGCGGTGCCGATGGTCCAAGGTCAGATCCAGAGAAAGAGATCAGCGGCTGGGGCGAGAATGACCGCCCGACCATGGCGTTGCTTTAATGGCAAGAATTCTTGGTCAGCAACCGGTTAGAAACTAAGAGGAAGCAATCGCAAATTATTGGACCTTACAGCTGTCACTGGCTCGCTGTTCCAGCATCTCTGACTGCAGTTTTGCCTCGAGTTGGGGAATCATGCAAGCCCTCTTAAGCGAGTGTCATGGGTGTGGCTCAAAATTCATGATTTTTCATCTTTGGTTCCATGTGCCAAGGGTACCATTTTGGTACAGTTTTTTGAACCACAGCCACATATCCACTTTGCATGCTCGTGCAGGTCCTGCTCGCATCCGCTCGCCATGCTCCCAAGATACGAAGTCGTTCCCACGTGAGAATTGTCATTTGACACGCCCAGTTGCCAGGAACCGCCGTGGCACTCCCCCCAAAAGCGAACATGAAACCTGAACGCTCTCCTTCTCAGGGGCTGGGTTGTTGAGTAGACCTGCTAGTTCCATGCGAATTTTACATAAGTTACCCGTTCAAGGGGATTTGTCAGGTGCCATGTTAAACATGTTTGCTCTTCCATTGCTTCCCATGTTTTTTGTTCCGCTGCTCCCCTGCAAACTCTCTTTTTTTGTGGGAGACTCCATCAAGCAGGTCAGTCTGGAGGGGAGTGTGTAGAAAGCCCTCAGATGGGTTCGGGCGGTTTCTTGGGTTGTTTTCACGGCTCACAAGACCACTTGAACAGGTTCTCTATCAAGCCGGTTTCCGATCGCTTGCGTGGGATCTTGTTTGAGTAGCATCCATGTGGAGCACATTTCTGTTCACCACGGCTGCGTCTTTCGGGGAGCCCTTGTTTGGTTGGTGAAAAGGGACCCGAAGGACGACCACCATATTGGCCCAGTTGCCCAGTGGTGCACTTTTTTTTAATTTTTTGGGGAAGGGTTCCCCTTTTAACTCAACCACAGAAACAGGGTGCCCTTTTTTCCCATGGCCACTGGGCATCTGAGTTGGAGTACACCCCCATTCCGCGGGGCCTTTCAACGCACCGGCCAGGACAGAGGCGTGTCGTTTACCTTCGGGCCCGACGTCGCTGGGGACCCCGGGGGACCCCGTTTTATTTTTATTTTCCCGGTGGAACGGGTTGGGTATGGGTCAAAAGTAAACCACCAGACCGCAGGTTTTAGTCCATGTTTCCAGTACCGTTTTTTTGACCCACAGCCATTTGGTCGCGAGGGGAAAACATGGTTGCTGGAAGTCCCGTGGGTTTTTCCAAGCCCTTTCCAGGCACCAAAGCACAGGTGGAGGGTCGGACATAATTCTGGAGACCGGGGGAGTGGTAGTGCACTTGTGCGTTTTTGAGGCTTGATCTCTTGCAGAAGTTGTGCGCATGTTTCTTGAGAAGAGTTTTTGCCTCTCTGAGTGGCACTGGGAATCTGAGTGTAAGTCTTGGCACTGTTCAATTTAAATTTGGCACTGCTAAATGAAGTACGTTGAATGCAAGAGTAAGTCTTGGCAATAATGTTGACCCCGTATTAGACATCCCCCCCCTATTAGTCCGGTCCGGGTGAACCCCCCCAATACTAAACAATTCATATCTCAGAAAATACCCCCCAACTAAAACATGATGCAAAACAACCCCCCCCCAATTAGACCGGTCCCTCCCCCAGATGGCTGCTGCTATCTCATTTTCTCCACTGCTTCTTGAGCTCATTACAATGTAAACTGTTTTTTGGTGCTATCTCAGATTCCCAGCGCTGAATCTAGTATTGCCAGATCTAAATTTGGCATTGCCAAGACTTACTCTTGCATTCAAAGGAAATCATTTAGCAGTGCCAATTTTAAATTGAGCAGTGCCAACTAAATTGAATATTGCTAAAACTGATCCCAGCGCTTAACCTAGTATTGCCAGGTGGACGAGGTATCAGCTCGAAGTGGCAGAACCAGGCCGAATGTAACCCATGAGCCGATGGCTATTTTGGGCTCAAATGTGGCTGGTCCCCCTTAAGCCATTGTTTGGTTTATTAAGCCAAAAAAGCCTTGAGAAAACCAGAAAAACTTGAGGAAAACCAAAGAACAAGAAAAACCTCGAGAGAATCAACAAAAACAACTAAAACAAAAACTCGAGAAAACCAACAAAAACAATCAAACAAACACAAAGCATGTTTCCAAAACTCTTTCAACACAGGTTGTGCTGCGAAGCATTTCAAAACCATGGTTTTGTTGGTTTTGTTTTTTGGTTTTCTCGAGTTTTTTTCTTGTTCTCTAAAGATGTTTCCTTTGCTCGTGTTAGATCAAGTGCAACTGACATGGCTGACCCATGAGAAGACTGCACGCCTCAAAACTCGCTTTTAACGCGCACTACCAGATTTCCCCTGTTCTGTAGTTCTGGGCTTTTATTGAGACTCGTTTTTTTTTCCCCCCGAGCCCCGATCGTTTTTTTTTTCCCCATCAGGCGCCGTTTTTGTTTTTTTTCTTGGCCGTCCGCACCTTCAGGCCCCAATTGGCCTCCGGCTTCATTCTTTCGGTTGAGTCAGACCTTCGGAGCTGGGGGCTTCTAGGTCCAGCATTTGGTGCCCTTTCTCCTCTCACCGTTCCTTTTTTTGGGAGGGAAAGCCCCTGCTAAAATGGACAACCCAGAAAAAAAGTTGGTACCAACTTATTCTAACCTCAAACTGCTGGAGGACTTAGGCTTTGCAGTTTAGCTGTGGAAGGTTCACTGCAAGAAGGCAGCGGCTTTTGTTTTGATTAAGGACCAAAGCGGTGAGGGTTTGGGGAATACAGCCCGAAGGTGGTTCAGGATGGGGGCTGTGCTGTTAGATGGGATGCAGGAAGTCTTTCATTTGCTTGAGAATATATATATATATTATTTCCCTTATATACTAGGTTTAAAGGGAATCTATCACTACTGAAAGCATACAAGCCGTTGATATTTTCTTTTGTTGGTTTTAAAGGGGATCTACATCACTGCTGGAAATATGTTGCGTTTTTGTTTTCCATTTTTTCCCGGGGGGCTTAAGTAAATGGAAGAAGTCCTTTTGAGGTGATGGGCTTTCTGCGGAAGCACAGCTTGGACCTCGTGTGTCGGGCACACCAGGCAGGGAGTAGCGGGGACCCGGAACCGCCTTGCAGACTTCCTAGAGCAACCCGGGTTTCCCGAATTGCTTCTCTAGGTCCCCCGGTAGTGCCCTTGTGCCCTTTCTTGGGGGAGGGTTACCCTACTAAGATAGACTACAGAAACAAACTCGGGTACCATCTTATTCTAACCTCTCAAATCTGGAGGACCTAGTTCTCCAAACAGTCACTTGGATTCAGCCTACCGGTCGCGTTATGATTTTGGGACTTCTGAGACAGACTTGGGTAGGCAAGGCCGGGCCCCGGTCGATGGAGACGCTCTGACTAACCCGGCAGGGGGGGGGTATGCGCCAGGCCCAAATCCAAACCTGAAAAAACAAAGCAAAAACCTTCGAGTGCTCAGCAAGCTCCTCTCAGACTTGTGATTTCCTTTCCTGTCGATTGTTTCGACGCACCCACAGCTTGCCTTTGAAAATCTCAGGCGGCATTGGTTCAGGCCAAGCCTACTTGGTTTGACGGCGTGAGGGTTAGGCAAGTTGGGAAGTGCTCAGCTAGCTTTGCTTGTCCCTTGGCGAGGCTCTGCGGTTCCATCACCAAGCCACGCAAATCCATGTCTCTGTCGACTACAATCGTGCACTTTAACCAGTTGTTTTTGCGGGTTCCAGCAGTGGTGGTGGTGGCGGCGCTGCTGGTGGTGGTGGTCAAATACTTGAACTATGTCGCTACGTCTTTGTATCCTTCAACCAATTAGTGGAAACCATCTTTTCTCCGACCATCCGCAACGCACGTTCGGGCAGGTGGTGGAGGACGGCTACGAGTTCTTCGCCAGCAGGCGTTTTTTTGTTGGGCCCCATGCCACTGGTTCTGGGTGCTAAAGAATACACTCACTTCCTGAGTTCCTGGACTTTAGTCACTTTTTTGGGTTAGACGGGAAGCCAAAACATGGTTGTTGTTGGGACATATTCTTACATTTTTGCTTAGTGCGGTTTCGTGGAAAGGCCCTACTTAGCTGCTAAAATTTGAGATGTGTTGCTCCCCCAACCCAAGGTCAACCAAGTTTAGTCACTTTTGGTTCGGGAAGCCAAAAGGGAGGTGTCGTTTTGTTTGTCGATGGGACAACCCTCCACATGGAAGCTGACGTCAGAAGCCTATTTCTTGAGACCCGGCGGTCGGTGCCGTGCCATGGTGGACAGGAGCGTAAGTCTTGGATCCCTTTGAGGGGAACGCACAAGGGGACAGTAGTTGTGAAGTGTCCAGACCCCCCCAAAATTTGGCACCCAGTGAAAAACCATGCGTTAAACAACTCAGTGATTCTATTTTCCGGTATAGTGGTGAACTAGGTATTGAAGCTCCTTTGGGGAGTACACGCTTTTGGCTATGAATTTGAATAGGGAACCACTTCAAAAGTGGTTGGTGGGCATGAACCGCCTAATGAACCACCTAACTGAGCCATACTGGGTGCCCTGTCAACAATCCGTGTGTGCTTTTTAAGGCCCCGTTCCCTTTCGTTGGTTTTCGAGGGAAGCCAAAAATAAAAAAGCCGTTGCGCCTGTTTTAGGGTCGAGATCCGCACCAGTCTTGGGCCTGAGATCCGGTTTCTTGCGTCGGCAGGTCCTTGGTGACGCTCTTCAGCGCGCCCAACTACTGCGGGGAGTTCGACAACTCTGCGGGGAGTCCTCGGGAGTTTGCTGAAAGTGGGGTCGCCGATTTGGGGCCGTGGCGGAGGATATGGCGACCAAGAAGGAGTACTAAACCCAAATGTATACATACATATATATATATATATATGCATATATATATATATATATATGTATATGTATATATATATATGTATTGTTGAACAACAAAACACAAGAATCTATGGATTATTCCATGGTTCCGTGGGTAAAGGCCGCCCTGAAAGCCCGATATCCTGGCACTTCAAACGGGGGTTGATCAAAAGGTCCTTTACGTGCAATGCCCACTGGTCCATATTTCCCACATGGGAAAGTAGCCCATGTCATTTGGGGGCCTATGATTAAATCCCAATCCTAACTGGAGCTGAAAAAGGCGGCGTGGATTTCGGGATCCTGCCAGATGACATGGATGAACCCCTCTGAAGGGGGAAAATCGAACCATTTTAACCGGTGCTGAGAAAGGCGTGGAAAAGGGGGGTCCATCGAGGGTATGACAGCTGCAATGACCTGAGGCGGCCATCATGACGGTGGACAACCGCTTATGCTGCGCTTTCCAGATCCTGCGGCCAAGCCGAGTCTAGGCCAGGCTCGGGGCGGGGGGGGGGGGAGGTTCAAGAGCTCAAGAGGGAGGAGAGGGATGCAGGCCTTAGGTAAACTCACTTCCTGAGTTCCATTTGGGGCTTTATTTGGTCACTTTTGGGGGTTGGACCATTTTAGTGGCAAACAAAAAGTTCGGACTTGTTTTTTGTGGCCAGTCCACTCGGGAAGTGAGTGCATGGTGATGTTGCAAAACTTGAAACATGCTGATAGTAGTGATGATGATTTCGTTTTATTGGTTTGTTTGAACTTTGAACGTTTCGCAAGGTATAGCCAACAACTTTGCAGCAACTAGCGAGGGCAGCAAGGTCCCCTCATATTGCCGTTCCGAACTCCAATCCTTGGTGTGTGTGTGTGTGTGTTGGCTTTGGCAGTTCTACTCGTCGTCACAGCCTACATATCCTTGTGCGCCTACACTTGTTGAGTGTGCTTTAACATGCTGGTTTTGGTAGATGAAGCTGAGGTGACGGCCGAACCCTCAAATGAGACGTGCAGATTCCAAGGGGGGGGGGGGTGGGAAGTGCCAGGAAACCAAACTATGCCGTTCATCTGAACTTGATGCAGACCGCTCCCAGACCCCGAAGCAGCCACAAGCTGCATGTTGCGGCCTTGAGTTTTCTCTGCCTACTTGATGGCGAGCTCGCCTCGGGGTAAAACGAGCTCACCCACGTATTCCAATGTTTATTTTCAGGTTTTGGTTTAGTGTGGATCTTTGTGGTATATGTTCATGAGCTGCTTGCGCAGGTTTTCGACTTTGGCCACCTCCATTTGGGGCGGGCGACCTCCGCCTGAGAGATTTCAAGTTTTGCAGAAAAGGTTGAAGGCACCCTGGTACTTGTAGGGTACTTGTCTTGGTGGGCACCCCAGCCATCCGGTCCCTTAGCCCATGTTTTTTTGGTGGTTTGTTTTTGTTCTTCCATTTTGTTTGTCCTTTTATTATTATTATTATTCTTATTCTTATTGTTATTGTTATTGTTATTGTTATTATTATTATTATTATTGTATTTTTATTATTATTGTTATTGTCATTGTTATTGTTATTGTTATTGTTATTGTTATTGATATTATTATTATTATTACTATTACTATTACTATTATTCTTATTCTTATTATTATTGTTATTGTTATTGTTATTGTTTTATTATTATTATTATTATTATTATTATTATTATTATTATTATTATTATTATTGTTATTATTATTATTATTATTATTATTACTATTATTATTATTATTATTATTGTTATTATTATTATTATTATTATTATTATTATTATTATTGTTATTGTTTTTATTATTATTATTGTTATTGTTATTGTTATTATTATTATTATTTATTATTATTGTTACTATTTTTCCAGTGTTTTGTTCTTTCTTTCTTTATAAATGTGTTTTCCCGGTTTAGTGGTTGGATGTCCATTTGAACCCACTAACAGTTCAAGTCACTTGGGGGCAGCTCGGATGTTCCCATGGAGAGCTTCGTTCCATTTGCAGTTCATCCCTCAATTTCTGTGGGCGCCTTGAAGGGATGGCGAACCGGGTTTGCGGAATTCGCATCGGGTGATGGTAGGAGGGTAGGGTTTGACTCACTGTCCGATTTGCAGCTCTTGACCCTAGGTCGCTTGGATGCGACCTTGAGCCTTCCGGAAGTGAGCGCCTTTCTCGTGACAAGGTCGCAAGTCGCTTGAACTTGTTCAGCTACATGTGTTCGGGGAACCCACGGGGGCCCCATAGAGGTTTTGTTTCGGTTTCAGAAAAGGGCCGACCGTGTGCAAGAGTCAAAGGACGGAGGGAAGTGGCTCGAGGAATGCAATACATGCTGCAAGGATACCAGCGGCACTTGTCACATGAGTGGAATTGAGAATGGCTGATCGCGTCCGCCGTGCTCCGTTGGCTTCGCACACGGTATAGCTTGACACGGCGAAAACACATGTGTGGACATTTGAAGGTTTGTAACTTCAACAGGGATCCCGAATTTGAGGCACTGTGAAATATATTAGATATATATATATATATGCATATATATATACACATATTGTTTTTGTTTAATGTGGTATATGAATATATATATATATATACATACATATATATATATATATATATACATGTTGCCGCAGCAACGAATTGATTGTCCTAGCATTCACTGAAACACATTTCTCACAAACATGTGCCCGCCCACAAGGTCGCAGCTGGGCAGGCAAAAGCGCGTCCTGTTAGAGTTAGAAACCTTAGAATGTCCACACATATGTCCCTAATTTGCTGATGTCCACCACTCCCCCGCAACTCAACAACCGAATTGACAGTAGATTGGGCTTTGGTTCATAAAATCCCCACCCCCCCCAAAGAAAAAAAAGAAGAAACAAAATAAGAAAAACAATGTGCAGTTCAAAGGGTCCCGGCTCAAGCAAAGAACCCATTTTTATGCTTGGCACGCGGAGCGCGTCAGAGCTCGTACCTTTATGCCTATCCTGGGATAGGCCAAGTGCATGCTGGGCCGAAGCGCGCTGAGTGAATCCGTGAATTCCGGCACACCGAAGCCACGCTAGATCCAGTGTCTTGCTTGACCGTCATGGAAGATGGGTTTGTCTCCAGAAGGGGAAACCGAAAAAAGGGGGTTATTCAGCAAAACACTGCTTGACTAGCAAAGTAGGAATGCAGTGGGCTTGTGTCAAGAAGTGGCAGGCCAATTGTCTGCCTGCATGGGACCCTTTGGGGGGTTGCATGTCAGTAGATGGGAGGGTATAGACAGAAGAATTGATGGGCCAAGAGCGGGAGCGATTTCATTGGAGCCTCGTTTCTGTCCTTTTGCCTTGGCATTGCTTTGTATTTCCCAAAGCAGGGGAACCTCCGAAACTAGCGGGTTGCCTTCTGGTTTTGCCCGAAGCATCCGTGAACCTCGGTTTGGGTAACCTTTGGTGGAACCTCCTTAAACTTTCCTATCGGGATCTCGCACGGCAAGCTGTTAGGGACTGCGCGGAGGGGCTTCTCCTTGATTTGAGGCTGTAGAGGCCTCGGGGAAAGAACCATGTCCCACTGTGTTTCTGGACTTTGTCGGAAGATACTGGGTCCCCCAGCAGCGCCTTTTACCGTTTCTTTTTTGGGGGAGGGGTCCCCTACTAAGATAGACTACAGAAAAAAGGGGTACCCTTATTCTAACCTCTGTACTGGAGGACCTAGGATATGTTCAGTGGGCCGCCCGCGGAAGTGAGAGATGAGTCATACGTACGTGGGCCGGGCGCTTTGCCATGCTCAAAGAGGAGAGCTTTTTGGTGTGCTGGGGATTCGCGGGGAGGCCGGAGACGGACTCAGAGCGCCCGCCCGCGCGGGCGGTTCGAAGGGTCCTTTTTCCGGGCAACCTCGAAGAAGGTCCCAAACCGGGCAAACCAGATTCTTTTGGGGCGCGTTTGTTTTAAAGGGTGGTTGAAAGGGAAACCAAAGGAGACACCAACGAGACGATTGTTTGGGCACCCGTTTTATTTTTGTTTTTGAAGGGAAACCAAAGGGACACCAACCAGAAGATGGTTTTTGGTTTCGGAGGGGGCTGCTTTCGCTTTGTTTGGCAGGAAACCGGAAAGAACTCAAGCGTCACCTCATGTTGAGACAAACCCTTTTATGTTTCATTGGAGGACTCCAAATGTGTGTGTTTCCTTGTTTGCAGTTTACATAGTAAGCTGCAGAGACTCTGCAAGGCGAAAGGGATGTGCCGAACTTGCGGACCCTCCACATGTTTTGTTGTTTTTTTCCCCATGCAGGAGCTAAACAAACGCCGAGAACACATTTGTGCTCCAGCGTGTTCCAGGCTTGTTCTGCAACCTGCTCGTCAAGATCATCTCAGTGCTCAATGATTCTTCAATTCCGTAGTTTCAAGTCAGTTTCCGAGGTCAGAGGAGCCAAACAAAATCTGAGACCCCGAATAATTCTTTTGTTCCGGGAAAAGGAGGGCAGCCGGCTGTGACTTCCTCACAGTGCTGAAGTTTCCGGAGGGTGCGCAGAAGGTGTGCCAATGTGTCACTGAAAATGACTGTGCAGACGCGTGTTTTTCGGGAGAGAGGGGGTGTTGCCACAGTTGTTTTCTCTTTCGGGGGAGGGGGTGTTGCCACGCGAGTCCATGTTGCTGCCAAACACGTACCCCTTCCGCGAAAGGCACTATTTTGAGGGCCTTACTGAGCTAAAACTGGCTTGATATGCATATTTACATATATATATATATATCTATATATATACATATGGTCAGCCCCCCCATGAACTACCTTTCCTTATTTCTTCATAACATGACTGCAAAAACACTGTGTTTTGCATAGTGTTTAGCTCTCTCGACCGTAAAAACAAGAAAATTGACAAAACAGATTCCGTATTGAAATCCCTTCTTGCAGACATAGTTCAAAATATGAAAAATAGCAAACAACCATTTTGTGTTTCCTTTTTTTCACATGCTACCACTACGGGTGGTAAAAAAGCGCCTGTGTTTAGCCTGTTGAGTAATTTCCAAGCTGTGAAGCATCATATTTTGAGACAAAACCCAACAAAAACTCGAGGAAACCCAACAAAACCAAAACAACTTGAGAGAACCAAACAACCAAAAAAGCACATTTCTGAGAAGAATCTTGGGTTTGGCTCAAGTGTTTGTGTTTTTGGTTTTCTCGAGATGTTGTTTTTTTGGTTTCCTCGAGTTCTATTTTGTTTAGTCACAAAATCAAAAACACAAAAAGCCCATATTTTTTGGTTTTCCAAGTGGGTGGGCCCAGAAAACCAAAAAACCCAAGGCTTTTTTGGTGTTGGCCCTAAAAGCCAAGAAAAACTCGAGGAAAACAACTCAAGACAACAAAAAAACAAAACAACAATTCTCAGGAGAATCTTGGGTTTGGCTCATATTTTTTTTCGAGTTGTTTTTGTTGGTGTTCCTCGAGTTCTTTTGGTTCTTATTTGCATCACAACACCAAAACAAAAAGCCCAAGGTTTTGTTGGTTTTCCAAGTGGGTGGGCACAGAAAACCATAAAACCAAGGCTTTTTTTGTTTTCCATTTTGGTGGGCCCAGAAAACCAAAAACACCCAGGGCTTTTTTGGGTTTCCAAGTGGAGGTGCCCAGAAAACCAACAAAAGCCTTGTTTTTTTATGAAAAAAAGCTACTCGAGGAAAACCAAAAAACAAAAACAAATCGAGAGAACCATTAACAAAAATTAGCCAAACCCAAGATTATCCTCAGATGTTTTTCGTTTTTGGGGTTTCTCGAGTTATTTTTTTTGTTTTCCTCGAGTTTTTGTTGGCTTTCAGGGCCAACACCAAAAAAACATTGTTTTTTGGTTTTGTGATTAGCAAAAAGAAAAAGCAAAAACAACTCGAGGAACACCAAAAACAAGTCGAGGGGAAAAACAGTTTGAGCCAAACCCAATATTCTCCTCAGAATATGGAAAGGGCATCATACTTAAACTCTAAAGCAACATAGACATTCAAATTCGATTATGTCCTTCAGTTCTATCAGACTTCTACTTACGTATTTATTCAATTCTCATTAAACATGAGTCACATTTGATGTGTAACTAACATAGTGCATCATTTGAATTATTCCCTTGTTAAGCTCTTTTAATGGAAAGGATGCATTCTGCAAGTTAATATTGATTTAATGTCGAAAGGACTTTCCATTTACACTTTCATTAAACATGAGAAATGTAATTGAATTGTTCCTGGGCAACGCCAATGAAGATGCTGCTTTCAATCCCATGGCGTCATGCGGCGTGAAGCTGAGTGGTCGCCTTTCCAATTCTTTTACTTTGAGTCAATGACAAACCCTCCCAACATGTTTGCCAGGCAGGGCGTCAAGGACACGCAGACCTGTTAAATTCGGTTGGGGTCACTTCTGGTCTCTTAGAAACTGAGGACATGGAACGGAGTCCTCTTCCGCGTCATTTTTTTCTCGGTGGTTTGGGTGGTTTTTTGTGCATGGGAGTCAGGGAGTGGGCAAGAGCTCTCCATTGACTCCATTGGCATGGCACAGAATGAAACGATCGGGGCAAACCGCAGGTCTTGGGAACCATGGAACCCACTGACCGATCGGGCAACCCATGTTGGAATTTTCCGTTTTTTTTGAGCCACAGGCGCATGGCCGCATTTGAATCGATATGCCCTTGTTTTTCTAGGGGTTGATTCCTTGTCCATTCTTTCCAACCCTCGTTCTTCTCGAACACCGTTTTCGTTTCCATGGGTTTCCGGAGCTTTTCTAAAGGATCCTTGGAAAGAATGGGGAAGGTAGCACTAGAAGGTTGGATGACCAAACAATTCTTCCTCGAAGAGGCCAAATGGGTATGGGTCAAAACTAAGCCACTAGGAATTGGACCGCAGGTTAGATGGTGCTTGTTTCCATGTTCCGGGGGTTCCCTTTTCGGGTTACCCCATGTTTGACAAGCACCTGACTAACGAAAGAACAAAGCAAAACCCGTTGTGTCGGTTCACATCGCCTGTCCAGGCTAAAATGTAGTGGCTCACAGGCCGTCTTCTGCGATCTTTCCAGGCGCAGCCGTCAGATAGCAAGTGGGACCTAGGATTTCTCAGGTTGATTTGCAGAGCTTTGGGTTTTTACAAACACCGCATCGCTCACATACATGTATATATATATATATGTGCAAGCCAATGTTAACCCCAGGTTGATTTGAAGAGGGCCGGGTCTTCTTTTAGAGCCAAACCTTCACTTCTTGAAAGCACCTCTCTCCAACTCGCCCAACGCTTTGGGCTCAGCCGAGATCTTGCTTCAACGCTTGGCAGAGAGTCATGCGGGCGGAGGTGTCACATGGGTGTTTCTCAAAGTACAAAGCAGCTGGTTTACTTGTCTAGGTTTCCCAGTAGTGCCCCTTTACCACCCTTTTTTGGGGGAGGGTTCCCCTACTAAAATAGACTACAGAAAAAGGGTACGTTATTCTAGCCTCTCTACTCTACTAGGAGGACCTAGTTGTGCTCTCCCTTGAAATACCAACTCCAAGGGGGTCCGAAATCCATTTTGAGAAACTCACATATGTTGTATGTGTCGGGTTATTTTGCCTTCTACAGCATGAACCCGCGGTTCCCAACTGGTTCACACAGACGCACAGACACACAGACACGCAGACGCACAGACACAGACACAGAGACGCACCAAGAGACACACGAACGAACACCTGCCGCCATGTTTCTTCTTCCATGCAAAGGTGTTTTGTCCAGCGTGAGACAATCGCCATGGCTGCAATTGCTTCCTTGACGTGGTGGACGCTGCTGCTAGGCTCACCATCTCCACATTGGCAGCGTGCAGGGAGAAGAGGGGTGTCAGGAGCCAGGACCCCCAAGGCGCCACGTGAGCTCATGGTTTCATGGGAGCCGTCATCAGCGCGGAAGACATATATATATATATATATCATGGACATTTGCGATGTGGGCAGGTGACACAATAAACTACGATATATATATATATATATATACACATACACATATGTTTGCATTTTAGGGCGGGTGGAAGGTTTGCCGCGATGTCTCTTTTCTCTTTTTTCCCAGCTTCAGATGCGTCCAATGCGGGTTCCAGCGCGTGACTCCTGCGTTCAGGCCTTGCCCTTCAGAGGGCCCAAAGCCACCGCTCGGCTCGAAGCCGCCGCTTGCGGCGCGGATTTTTTTGCGGCCCACATGGCGGTTCAGAGCAGTGCGGTTGGGTATGTCTCAAAGAGCATGGAACATCAGCAATTTACGGGCACCCTGAGTTTGAGAGCAGCGATTTTTTCTTTGGAACGCAGAACGTGACTGGACGTGAACCGCTGCCCATGGCACAAAGAGAAAGAGGATGCTAAGCGCTAGCAGGGCTCCTGAGCATGCGCAACGTGCATCGTCTGAAAGTAGGACAGGCGCGCCCCAAATGGGCTTCAGTCTCCCTTTGAATTCCCTCTGAAACCACCCCCGAGAGATGGTACACAGATGCAACACCAAATACAACCAGAGCTTTTGGGACCATTCGTCGCGCCTCGGATGGCAAATGCGTGGAGCCCAAGCGGGTTTCGGCTAAACCCCCATTTGCCCCACGGGTTTTCCACAGGGTGTCCATAGATGTTCCACAGATCTCTCACGCGCCGCGCGGTTTTGTAGCCACTCCAGCTGGAGCCTCCGGGCTCTCAGAGAAGCACGTGTGGAAGGCTCGGAATGGTGAACCTCGGAATCTGGGACAGCATGGACAGCATGGACAGTAAGCACACCAGCAGACAGCCTGGCTAAGGTACACCAGATTGGGCCACTAGATGGCGCTCCAAACAAACGGGCTCTGGCGGCCGGCGGCCTTGCAAAGGGGAAGCGGCCCCGGAAAGGTTTTTTTTTTGTCATGAAAGTAAACAGCAGAAACTGCGCTCAAAGGGGAACATGCTAGGAATATCGAGATATGGTCTGCGCGTGGACTTTTGAACATGATATACGTCTCACGAAAGGGGCCCAGGCATATTTCGCGCGGCAGCTCGTCCGCGGCTTCTTTGCGACGCGTGGTCGCCCCGAAATATCCCCAGAAGCAATTCGGTGGGGCAACGGAGGGTAGCCATGTGCACGTTTTGCACGTCAGCCAGAGGCACGAAGGCAGCCGCCTTCTTTTTTGTTTCTCGATTCCTGGTTGACAGACTTTGAGCTCCATGCATGGAAGCTTTTCTATGTCTGCCATCTTGGGCCCCAGGCATTTCTGTTTCTTGCCCTGGCGATCTCAGTGCAAGCCCACTGGAAGCTGAGGCGAGTCCAACTCCATGCAACACCGAGACGTGAACCCCAAACCAAGTAGAAACAGCCTAAAGTTAGCTTGCATTCAGAACACGAGGGCTGTGCACGCTTTACGCGGCTCTGGCTCTTACTCTTTGTGCGCAAGTCGGTGTGGCTCCTTGGGGTGTTGCGGTTTAGCCGCAGCTTTTTTTCAATCAGCGTTTGCACCTGCTTCGTGGTGCTCATGAAGGTTCCCCGAGCCCAGTCCGACTCTACAGTTCTAGTTTAAACATTGCCCCCAGGCCCAACTTCCAGCAACCCCACCCCATGCCCAAGCAGTTGCTGGATTTTAGGTGTAATGCACGTCGACTCGCCTGCTACCTCACACGCCAGATGGAGAATCATTGGCTCGATGCTGTGAAAACGTTTATGTTATTTTATGTGAATGGAACCATTCCATTACACACCTCTATCCCAATTGCACGCTCCGGATCAAGATTTCAAGACATGAGTTTTTCGAGGTTCCGTGTTGATCTAAGGCGGTGTTTGAGGTTCCATTCTTATTTGCAGGGAAGTAAACCCTGAAGGCCCTTGTCCTTGACTTATGCTAGGATAGCGCGTAGCACCCCTATAGTACTGCTTGGAGGTCAAGAATCGCTGCGCGGCAAGCTCTGGGATTTTGCTTTGGTTGGTCTCCCCCGAAATGCTTCCAATCAAAGTAGAGCTCAGGCACCCCGTCAGGTTGGTGGTTTTGATTGGCTTGGATTTGGATTTCAAGATTTGCTTGTATAGAGGGTAAATGGGAAGCTGCACCACCAAGCCACATCTCTAGAAAACCGTTTGGATGTGGCTTTTGCGGATCCACTCCTGTAGGATGCAAAAAGAGTTCTAGAAGAGTACCTCAAAAGGAAGTTGATATGACAGGAGAGCCAAAAAAAAGAGATACCAACCCAAAAAACGGCGACAGACACCGCTTGGAACAGGTGAAGTTCGAAAATCCAAACCGCTTTCTCGACAAAAAAAACCGGTGACTTTCAAACAGCGCCAAAGCGACGAGTCAGGTCCGCTTGGAACCGGTGAAGCTTCGAAAATCCAGACCGCTTTCTCGACCAAAAAATCCCGGCGACTTTCGTCGCGGCAAAGCTCGAGGTCCGCCCGTGCCAGCTCCGCAGGGCCGCGGCCCAGGCGGCGAAGGGGCCCAGCGAGCTTCCCCCAGCACTTGGCGCCCTTTCTCACCCAGAGACCGCAGAAAAGGACCGCTCTTTACCGTATGTTTTTTTGGGTTGGGAGGGAAGCCCCCCACTAAAAAGAGAGAGAAGAAAAATGGGTACCAACTTATTCTAACCTCAAACTACTGGAGGACCTAGGCGGCCTTTCAGGGTGGCCCTGTTACGGTATCCTTAGACATGTGGTGTCCCTTGACTCGCCCAAAGTGGGCTTGGGTTTGGAATGCATTGGTTTCGATCGAAACAAGTAGCGTTGCACATAAATGAGGAATGTGCGGACAAACATGTGCGTTTGCCCTGCGAATCCGTTTCTGATGTTGCGGAATAGTCCAGCTGCGTTTGGCACAGATTCTGTAGTTGAGGAGTCGAGGAAATTACAGGGCGACATGTGTCAAAATTCAACCACCAAAAAAACCGCAAGTTTAGTCCATGTTTCCATTTTCCCGGGGTCCATTTTGGGGTTACCCGATTTTTGACCACAGCTAGGTCCCCAGTAGTGCCCTTTTGCCCTTTTTTTGGGGAGGGTTCACCTACTAAAATAGACTACAGGAAAAAAGGGTACCCTTATTCTGACCACTCTACTGGAGGACCTAGACAGCCACATGGCCACATTTAGTACCATTTGAAGGCCCCGTGTTTCGGCGCTTGTTGCCGACGCCGTCCATCCTTCCGTTCTTTGGCCTCAGGCGGAGCACGGAGTGTTGTACAAAGTACCCGCCCCGGGCAAAGCAGCGGGGTGCCCAGCGGAGTGTCCCATCGGGTTCCGATCCACTGCTTAGGACACACAGGGTATCCTCTGAAAATGGATAATGTTGAATAAAACAGGACATGATTTCATGTTGTTAGAAAATGATCGCAGGACAATCAGGATAATGATTTCCCAGGTTAGAAAATGAGCCGATGTCGGGTTTCAAGAAAGGGGTTCTGATCAATTGCTTGTGCCGGACACTCAGGTGCATATTATTTGAAAGAGAAACATTTTCCGTGCTGTTGGAAAATCAGCTGATTTTGGGGTCAGGCGGGTTGGTTTCGCAATGCGTGGCAAGGCTGGCGAAATGATAATTTTGCGATGGTGTGATGTGAATGCAGACGTTTGATGTTGCCTAGCATGCTGTTTATGAAATCATGGTTGTTGTTGGGAAACATTTTACATTTTTGCTTATTCTGGTTTAGTGGTTGAAATCCAAATCCACTTAACTGCTAAAAATTGAGAATTTTTGCTCCCCAAACCCAACGTCAACCAAGAAATAGTGATGCAATGCTGCCCATCGACGCTGAAGTTCTTCTCGGGAGTCGTCTTACTCCTCGCCTTTTAGCGGCTGCTTTTTTGTTTTCACAGCGGCGTCTACTTGGCAGCTAGCCCCTGTGGATAGCTTTCGAAGGGACACCGCCTGCGATTTCACGCTTGATTCCTTTTTTTTGTTTTTTGCCCATGTTCCGCAGCAAAGTTACCACTTTCATGAAACAGAATGCGGAGGGCGCTCGACTTTGGGATCTCCGTTTGCCTTCGGAAGCCCAAAAGCAGTCGGTCGCCTCTCCGCACGGGTGGTAAATCGGGGCCAGGAAGGCCTCGAAGAAAGGATCATCAGCAAGCCCAGTCAGATATGGCTGGTCTATTTTTGGGGTACCCCTGTGTTTCTGGGTTTGAAAGGAAAACCACAAGGAAACACACATTATTTATTTGTCTATTTATTCATTTCTTTATTTATTGGTCAGTTATTATTATCGTTAATTTGTTTCTATATATATATATATATAGATATACATTGTTTTGTGGGGGGGGGTCCCCTAAATCAAGCACACACACACAGGATTCATGTCCACCAACCACTTTTGCGGTGGTTCCTTATCAGAATTCGTGGCCATATGAACACAAAGTAGCTTAATGGAGGTGCCCAGTGAATATGATCAATACTGTGAAGCAGCAAGCAAGCCTTCGGGCTCTCTTTGTCGCGGAGTTGAGCATGTACACCAGCACCAGGCGAGATAGACAGATGGCTAAAGAATAGACTTGTCGCATGCGTGGACATGCCAAAGGAATCAACAAGCCGCAAAACAAGAAACAAAGCAAACGCGCCATTGTTCTGTACCGAGCTTTCAGCCTAAAGACATTCTCAGTTTGACGTTGAGACGTAGAGAAACAACATCTCTCACGTCGGGAAGTCACATTCGTGCTTTAGCTAAGCGTAGCGCCAGTTCTGCTGCAGTTCTTGTCGTTTTGCACATACCCGCAAATAGACATCTCCGAACAAAGATCGGCGGGCTATGAAAGGGCGATGCAGTGTACATAATTCAGTTACATGAAGCTTCGGGGTATGTCCGTTCGGGGCATGTAAGGAGAAATCTTGGAATAGCACACTGCCCACAGCAGTTTCTTATAAAGCCCGGATTGACGATGGGTGGCAAAAGCCAGCTCGACCAATCCAAATTACGCATTCTTGTCCGGTGTTGCTTGTTCAAAACCGGGCTTTGAGCCTTTTCGCTGCCTGTGTTTACAGTAGTTTTGGTTAAGGTAGCTCCTTTCGACTGAGCATCGTGTGACATTCGGTACACTCACCACTTCCGATCAGGACATGGGCTATGGGGCTCGCTCAAGCTTCCAGGTGGGGGCAGAATATTGACCATGGCTGTGAGAACCGCGCAGGCAGCACAAGGCTCAGGATCTCTCCTTTCAGCTCAGCTTCGCCATGATGCAGTCCGCGCTTGCCGGTCTCACAGCATTGGTGGCGGCCGTTCAGGTACTGGGGGCCCCTCTGACCTTCACCCACCTGGATACCACATGGACCCATTGCCAGATTGAGCCAAAAATGTGGGTCAAAAGTAGGGTAACCCCAAAATGGAACCCTGGTAAACGGGAAAAAGACTAAACCCGCAGCCCCTTTGGTCTGATGTTGACCCATACCCACATGTTGAACTAAAACGCTCTTGTGGCTGTTCTTTACTTTCAGCCAGCGAAAAGTTGGGGTTCGTTCAGGACCATAGAGGCCATGGACGACATGCTCATGGTGACCGCGGACTGCCCAGAGACGTCTTGGTGCGGCTTCGGATTCAATGAAAACAGTGCCAAGATGGACGGAGCCGAATCTCGGCCCTTTTCTTCACATACGTTTTTCTTCTTTTTGTTTGCAGGTTCGGGGACTTCATGAGCCCGGGTCTCTAATTGGCCTTGCTGTTTGTCTGCCTGAGTGCCCGCAAGCCTGCCTGCCTGTCTGCTTCTGTGTGTGTGTGTGTCTCAGTGCAATCTGTGTTTCAGTCTGTGTGTGTGTGTGTGTGCGTGTTTGTGTGTGTGTGTGTGTGTACGCGCCTGTGTGACTGTGACTGTGTGTGTGCGCGTACATTTATGCATTTATACGTGTGTGCGTGTATACGTATGTGCGTGTGTGCATGTGTGCGCGTGTGCGCGTGCGCGCATGCGCGCGTGTTCGCGTGTGCGCGTGTGCGCGTGTTCGCGTGTGCGCGTGTTCGCGTGTGCGCGTGTGTGCGTGTGTGCGAGTGTGCGAGTGTGCGAGTGTGCGAGTGTGCGAGTGTGAGAGTGTGTGTGTGTGTGCGCGAGTGCGAGTGCGAGTTCGGGTGTGTGGGTGTGTGGGTGTGTGGGTGTGTGTGGGTGTGCGGGTGTGTGGGTGTGTGGGTGTGTGGGTGTGTGGGTTTGCGGGTGTGCGGGTGTGCGGGTGTGCGTGTGCGTGTGCGTGTGTGCATGTGTGGTGTGTGTGTGTGTCTAATTATGCTTGTGTGTGTGTGTCTAATTATGCTTGTGTGTGTGTGTCTAATTATGCTTGTGTGTGTGTGTCTAATTATGCTTGTGTGTGTGTGTGTGGGTGTGCGTGTGTGTGTGTGTGTGTGTGTGTGTGTGTGTGTGTGTGTGTGTGTGTGTGTGTGTGTGTGTGTGTGTGTGTGTGTGTGTGTGTGTGTGTGTTTGTCCGTGTACGTGTGTGTGTGTACGCGTGTCTGTGTTTGTGTTGCGCATCTGTTTGTGTGTCTGTCCGTTTACTATTATTTGCGTGTGTGTCTCTGTTTGTTACTGTGTCTAGGTAGCTGTGCGCGCATGTGTGTGCGTGTGTCTCTGCTTTTGTCTCTGCTGTATCTGTGTCTCTGTTGTGACTCTGTGTACGCGTGTCTGTGCCTGTGCGCATGTGTCCGCGACTGCGCGTGCGTATCTGTCTGCAGTGTGTGTGCGCATGATTGTTTTTGTATTTGCGTATCTAGTTATTGTGTTTGTGCGTTTGTGTCCGTGTCGGTGTGTTTGCATTTGCCTCTTTGTCTGTGCCACTGCGCTTGTGCATTTATGGCCTGATAATGTTTGTTTTGGTGAGGGCATTCTCTCGTGGGGTCTGGTGTCATTGTGGGCTATCTAGATGTACTTTCAAGTGTAAGCGCTAAGGATGTGTTCACGTTCGGGCATCACGGTTCGGTAGATCTTGCGGATTGCCCAACGTGTGGCTGCGGCTGCGGTGCAACCACCACTGCCGGCTGCGGCTGTGGCTGCGGCTGCGGTGCAACCACCACTGCCGGCTGCGGCTGCGGCTGCGGCTGCGGTGCAACCACCACTGCCGGCTGCGGCTGCGGCTGCGGCTGCGGCGCCACAACAACGGCAGCAGCTTGTGGCTGTGGCGCTCGGCGCCTGGGGAAGCAGCCGAAGGCACAGCAACCCAACCCCTACATCCCGCGAGTGCAGAGCCTGAAGCTCAGCCTGCCGTCTTTCACCACTCCGGGCTCCGCACAAAGCCTTGAACATGTTGGCGGAGTGGTGGGCATGGCAATGAACTCGGTGCTCTTTGTGCATGAGCATCCGGATGAGGGCATGACCTGGCTCTTCGACAACTGCGGTGGCCATGGGGACACGTTTGGCCACTACCACTACCATGCGCCGCCCCTGTGCCTGCCACCTGCCAGTTGAGTTGGCTACATTATTATACTTGTTGTTGATTGGAATGTTTCGCAGTTGAGCAACAGCCCACAAAGTGGGTTCGAACTCAGTTGGTCGTCATGTTCGCCGTACGTGTCATGACCCAACACGTTCCACACCCTTCCTATGTCCAGGCCCCCCAGTGCAGTCAGCTGTCTTCCTTTCGTTGCGTCAGGATCCCTTCAAGAATACAATTGGCCCAACAACAAAAGCACGTTAAGCTTCTCCAGAGAGCTTGTACAACTGGTGTTTGGATCTATCCTTCAACTTCAACTTCTCGAGACATCCAACTTACCCCACCAAAAGTTGAGAGCCGCTTTTTGCAGAGTCTTTACAGCCATCTTTCTCGCGGTTTTTTGGGGCTTCCCTTGGGGTTTCCTCTGGTGGCCACCTGGGTACGGCTCAAAATTTAAAAAATTTGAGCTCGGAAAAATCCGCCCAGTGAGCGTCTTCCTCCTCCACCGCCCGGCGCCAAAAAAATGGGCGCCGAATTTTGGCGGCGCAGGCTGTCGGAGTTGGGGGCGCCCGTCCCGGAGGGCGCCTGGTGGAAGACGAAGGGCGCGGAGGCCTGGCCGCTGGAGGGCCCGGAGCTGCAGGTCGGCTGGGCCCTGGACGGCGCGGCCATCATGGGGCCCTTCCGCGCGGGCAAGCGCGGCTCGGTGGGGCTTGGAGAGACCAACAGTTCCTGCGGTGTGAGGGAGGAAGAGAGCAGCAGGAAGAGGTTCTTTGAGGGAGAAGCTTGAAGAAAACAAAAGGGATGTTGGTTTGGGAGTGAGGGAGTCAGAAACAGGTGAAGGAGAACAACAACAGGAAGTTGGTTTGGAAGTG